TGAAGCTTTTTTGCTACAAAAAAAATTAGTAGCTAAAAGCAGTCAATTGGCGACTAAAATTCAGTTTAGTAGCCAAAAGGGGACGTTTTTGGCAACTAAAAACAGATTTAGTCGCCAAAACTGCTTATTTTTAATTTGAACTTATTTTTTTAGCGACAAAAAATTAATTAGTAGCCCAAAATAATAGAATTGGCGACTAAATAATGGATTTAGTCACCAAAAGTGGCCTAAATTTTTTTTTAATAAATAATTTATTTTTTACATAAATTATATTTGAATAAAAATAATTATATTTATATATGTAGTTTTGTATTAATACCGGTCAATATACTATATAAATAATATATATTGCATATATATTCATGTGATGTTGAAGTGGCATAGTGGAGGGAGTGTGTTGCTAAAGATGTTGGCGGTTCGAATGTGGGAGAGGTTGGCGGTTTGAATCTCAGAAAAAGTAAAGAAATTGGTTTTTTTTTTTTCGCGGAAGGACCTTTGGCGACGAAAATTTTAGTCGCCAATAGTGTTTATTTTGGGCGACTAAACCGTTTAGTCGGCGATTCATGGACTATTGGCGACTAAAAGATTAGTCACCAAATGTGTGATTTTAAAAAGTGTAAATCACTATTGGCGACTAAAAAGTTGGTCGCTAAAGAGCTATTTTTTGCCGACTAAAAAAATTTTAGTCGCCAATACCTCCGACGACCATATATACGCGACAAAAGAGGCGACTAAAAAAAATTAGTCGCTGAAAGTAAAAACTCGACTTTTGGCGACTAAAAACGGACTTTTGGCGACTAAAAATTTAGTCGTCAAAAATGCTTTTTCTTGTAGTGATGATTGATTATTTTATAAGAAACATTAAGTGGATTAGCCATTATATTAATTGTAAAGGATAGATTAGGAAAAAAAAAATGAATATGAAAAAACTTAAATGAATTGTATTCGAAATTTTGAATTTGTGAATGAAACATAATGGGAAAGAAAAAGTGTATGAAAATTCGTAGTTGAAAGTTTCAAACACAACATAATTTTTCATCTCAAAAAACAAGATTACAAAAATTATAAAAAAAAAAATCACTATATAAAATAGGAAAAATTATAATTCAGTGTAGATTTAGAAAAAAAAATTACACATCTAAAATAAACCTTATAAATATTAACAATTAAAATGTTAAAAATTTTCATATATCTATAAATATTTTTTGAAAAATCAACTAAATTATAATTTTCCCTATAAAATATGACCTCATTTAAAATTTTCATTTTAGAGCCCTCATAAAATTTTGATATTCAGTAATTTCTTTCGGTCTTCCTAATGGTTCTTAGCTGTATGAAACAAAAATACCTTTAAAAAAAAAATGAACTTACATGTAGGTCTTAATAGATAGATTTATTATTCAATAGATCCTATGATAATTAATGATATTTTTCATCAAATACTACTAAAAAAAGTCACTAATTGTTAATTTTCAACGGCAATTCACTAATTTTTAACAGCAATTTAAAAAATTCGCTTCAAAAAAAGTCACTAATTGTAGGTTTTAACGACAGTTTATAAAAATTGTAACAAAAAAAATACTAATTGCCAATTTTTAGCAACATATACAAAAAAAATAGTCACAATTATTTTTAGTGACTATTTTTTGAGATTTATTTTCAATAAGGCTTTATAAGAATTAAGTTCAATTATTAAAACCTATTAGACCATCTCCAACCGTGTATTAAACTTATCATCAAATTCAAATTTGATGAAAATGATTCATTTTTCAGCTCCAACGATTTCATCAAATCAGTATCAAATCGAGAATATCAAAAATGTTTCACCAAATAGAGGACATCTGGAAGCTTTCAGCATTTCACTATTTGGTGCTGTTAATTTTGCAGAACCGGACGACCGACTGGATGTCCATCCGAATTTCCCCGTGGTCATCCGTTTACTTGAAAAATTTCAACAGCAAAACATACTCTCGGAATCGATGGATTACTCTTGTCAGTCAACCAGTCGAACTTCTACCCTGTCATTCTCCCGAAGCAAAAAATGCTCCGTTGGAGTTAGGGGTGTAATTTTGGCCTGTGGCCCGCGGGCGCCCCAAAGCCCGCCCGGGCCCAAGGTGGGCCCGGTTCGTTAAAGCCCGTTTAGGACTGGGCTTGGGCCATCGCTTTGAAGCCCGGCCTATCGGCCGGCTCAAGGTTTGCCCAAAAGTCCGGTCCACCCGAGGCCCAGTGTTATTTTTAATAGAAAATAATAAAATTTTGGTGAAAAAAATTTAAGAAAATTTAAAAAAATTGTTTAGTCCCGCCCAAAGCCCCAGCCTAAGGGCCCGGCCCACTGACCTGCCCAAAGCCCGAATACCCTGGGCCTGGGCTTGCGCCCCAGATGGGCCGGGCCGGGCTAAAATTGCATCCCTAGTTGGAGTGCTGGATATCAGATGAAATTTTTATTTAAATTTAGGCCTCGTTTGGGAATAAGATATTTTAGTAACTTTTTGAATTTTTAGCTAAAATATGAGATAAAAAAAATTAGTATGTTTAGGCTAACTTTTTAATTTTTTACGAAAAGATGTGCAATAAGTAGAAAAAAAATAAATCTTTAACTTTTTGGTATAAATTGTTAGTTTTTTTTATTTTTTTAATAATTTTTTGACTTTTAAATTAAAAAATAATATTACCAAATGAAGCCTTAATGAAATAAATGATCCACCGCTAAAAATGTTCTTAATAATTTAAAAAAATAAAATAGAAAACAAAATTAGACTGATTGGAAAGCAACATAATATTTGAAAAATAAAATATAGAACCATTTTCAACTTTAATAAATGCATATTATTGTTTGTTGAAATATTTTATGACATGACATTTTAGGGTTTTATTTTATTTAATAAGATGGCCCACAATCGTGTTCATTCATTTCACCATAACCTTCGTAGGTCACATCATTGAGACCCTGGATGGATTTATATTGACTTAAGGTCTTTGCATATGCAAAAAAATGAACACAAGATTCACAATATATTCTGTGGGTCTAGTTTTAATTTTTTGAATTTAAATTTTCAGAAATTAATTTTTTTTATTTTCTTTTCTATGTTTTTTTATTTTTGATGATTATTTTTAAAATTTTAAGTAATTTTTTTATTTTTTTAGATACACCTTATTTAGATGTATCTAAATAATAAAATATTTATAAAAAAATATTTTAAAATTTTAATAAATATATAAAAATATGAAAAATATACTGAATTTTCATATTTTGTTTGTATTTTTAATATTTAGTGAATTTTTTTAAAAAAATTCACAAATATTTTATTTTTTAAGTGTGTTTATGTTAAGTGTATTAAAAAATTAAAAAGAAATACTTAAAATATTTTTTAAAAAATCAATAAAAATATATATATATATGAAAATTAAAAAAATAAAATTTTCTAAACAGTAACTTTTGAAAATAAAAACCTAAACACAGTGATTGTTGTTTTACTTTCCTTTTCCCCACATCAGTTTTCTCGTTGTTTCTCAACAATCAAACATAAGTTGAGCTAGACAAATAAGAAAGTTTTACATGAGAAACAACTTCAAGTCTAAATAAAGAAATTTACAAGAGGTTTTTTTTTCCCTTTATAGCTATTTTTCTTGTAGTACAGAAATTTTTTTAAATATCTGCAACCACTTGTAAAATATAGCAATAGTCAAATTCAAGACATTTAAATTTGTAACTTATTTCAAAGTTGAGCTAAACAAATAACATTTACACCAATTTTCAAATGAAGGTTTTAAGCAAATGAATTAGTACACACTGTACTACACAGCATCAAAGTTATTATCTTCCTTGAAGCTAGAGAGCCTTTCACCAAAAGGGTGTTGCATGCATGTAATAAAGAAATGGCAAAGGGTTTTTGTGTTTTTTGTGGGGAGGGATTGTTAAGGGTTAGGGTTAGGGGTGCAACTCGGGCGGGCTCAACCCGAGCAACCCGAGCCCAGCCCGAGTTTTTTTAGGGCTTGGGCAACTATATCTTGTAATCTGGACGGGCTTGGGCAAATTTTTGATGCCCGAATTGCAATTCGGGCCGGGCTTGGGCAGAACCAATGGCCAACCCGAGCAACCCGAACCCGAATTCAATTTAATATATTATATAAATTATATAATATATAATATATAATATATATATAATTTAATAAATTATGTAATATATATAAATTAAGTAAAAGAGTTAGTCTTAATTTTTATTTTATTTTTTTTTTTGGTTAGTCTTCTATTAAGTAAAAGAGTTAGTCTTAATTTTTATTTTTTATTTTTTTTTGGTTAGTTTTCTACCATTAGATTAGCATCTTTTATGTCTACCCTTAGATCTACCTACAGGTTTCTGAACTCGGACAATTCGGGCAATTCGGGCAACCCGAGTTCAAAATACAAAGCTTGGGCCGGGCTTGGGCAACAATGTTCGGGTTCATGGTCGGGCTTGGGCGGGCTTGGGCAGTGCCAAATACAATTCGGGTCGGGCTTGGGCAGACCCCCAACCCGACCGAACCCGCCCGAGTTGCACCCCTAGTTAGGGTAACACTAATACTACATATTCAAATTTTATTCAAAAATATTAATGTGTTGTTTAAATTTATTATATACATAGATCCCATATTAAATCTTAACTTATAATTTTCTTGAATTTTTTTATTTTTTTTTTGGGTATATAGAGTTTTTTTCTTAATTAATTCCTGTTAGTCAATTTTTTTTTTCTATTATTATTATGAGGAACTCTCGAATATGATATTTTTTTAAATTCACCCTTACAGAGTAAATTACATATATCTGCAATCACATGCAAAACATAAGTAGCAATTAAATTCATAATACACCAAGAAAATTCAAATTAAAACGTCTCAATTTACGACTCATCTCAAAATTCATCCCTTAATTGTTAAGCGAAAATGGTCGAGTTTACAACTGGTCCCATCTCATCAACACTCACTATATATATATTATATAAGCCAAATAAAACCAAGCCAAATAAAACCAAGTTCATGGGCACTTCTTATGGCAGCAATAGCTCTCAAATATAGAGAAGAATTCCCTGGTTTTTGTCTTCCTCTAGAGAGAGCAACAAATTCCTAGCTTTGTGTTCACCTAAAAACAAGCCCTCCCTTTTAGAGTGCACCAACAACAAGAAAGAGAAAGAAAGAAACAACACAGTTTTGGAAAAGCAAAGAAAGGACAGAAAACACAAACTTCCTATAACTATCTCCATACAATCTCTTTTCTAATATGTCAAATAATACAGGTGATGATGGAAGCTTCTCTTCAGGCAATACTGGGGAAGAAGTCCAACGGCTTCAAGAAAATAAGATACAAAACCACTTCCAAGGCTCAAGTTCAGGACCATCCACCGCCGCTGCAGCAAATATCAATGGCTCATCTACCCAACCGCAACCACAAGAACCACCAGTTAAGAAGAAAAGAAATCTACCGGGAACTCCAGGCAATTTCAAACCACCCCATCAACCTCAATTATACATGTTTTCTAATACTTATCGTCACTTTTTTTTTTTTTTTTTTTTAACACAAAAGATAGTACAATTTTCATTCATAATGGTTAATATAGTTTAAACTTGATCGAATTTGTGCATGCTTCACCCGTGAGAGTACTCAAGCACCAACCATACATAAAGAAACTCTATTATTATTTTTGATTTTGGAAAGAAAGATCATTGTCTTGCTAAGGGTTCAATAATTGCTTGGAGATTACAATAATTGCTTGGGACTATTCTTAATTACACTTCTTTTTTTTTTTTAATTTAATTTCTCTTTCTTGTTTGTGACTGTACTGGGCTGGGGTCTCATGGATTTACTGTTCATGAAATTTGCTAGATGTTGAGTTTTGATTGTGTTTTTCACTCTCTTCCCTTTTTTTCGGTTTTTTTCCCTCTCTTCCCTTATTAGACAATATCTTCTTGTATTCATGACTCTTTAAAAGCATGACACCATTTGAATTTTTTTCAAGGTAAATCTTTTTAGCTAATTAAATTTTTTATTTTTTATGTAGATCCAACCGCAGAAGTTGTTGCTCTGTCACCAACAACACTTATGGCGACAAACCGATTTGTGTGTGAAATTTGCAACAAGGGGTTCCAAAGGGACCAAAACCTCCAACTCCACCGGAGAGGTCATAATCTTCCATGGAAACTGAGGCAAAGAACAAGCACTGAGGTGAGGAAAAGAGTATACATATGCCCAGAGCCAACATGTGTTCACCACAACCCAGCTCGTGCATTAGGTGATCTTACCGGCATCAAGAAGCATTTTAGCAGGAAACATGGAGAGAAGAAATGGAAATGTGACAAGTGTTCTAAGAAATATGCAGTGCAATCTGATTGGAAGGCTCATCAAAAAACTTGTGGCACTAGGGAATACAAATGTGATTGTGGAACAATCTTCTCCAGGTCTGGTGGCTTCAATTCAACGACCCAAATTCTTATTATTTATTAAGATCTTTAAAAGATTTTAAATAGCAATAGTGGGAGATGAATTAGTATCAGTTGCGGTATAACAGCATCAAGAATATTGAGCAATGTTTCAAGAATTGAGAAGCGTGGCTTTGAATTCTCTTAAAATCATCAATCTCAAAAAATTGGCTATGAAGCGATATGTATCACGAACTAGCAGATACGCGTGCAATTTTTATTCCCATTGAAATTCTGAAATTTATCAGGAGTCTAAAAAACCAATATCTAACTGTCAATATGGTACAATCCATAATTAAGCATAATGAAAATTGAACTAATTCATTGTCTTTGCCATTGTGCAGGAGAGATAGCTTTATCACTCATAGAGCTTTCTGTGATGCATTAGCTGAAGAAAACAACAAAGTAAACCAAGGAGGAATAATTCCCAGCATGGGATCAAACATACCAGGCCAAATGCCTGACCTCATGGCTTCAATGCCCATAGATAGCAACACCAACACATCTGTGGGAATATCAGAATTCAACAACTATGATCCCAAAAACCCACTCAAATCCCTCCCTCAAGAACTCATGCCATTTAAAACCATGAACATGGCAGGTGGCATGTTTTCAACCAGTTCAGGTTCACTATTTGGCAGTCCAAGAAACATTTCTTCATCTTCTTCTAGCCTTCAACTCAGTCCAAATAGCCCATCAGGCATCAACTATTTCCAAGATAGCAAAACTGGCAGCCAACTTTCTGGGTCGGCTCACATGTCCGCTACCGCCTTGTTGCAAAAAGCAGCCCAAATGGGTGCAACAGCAAGCAATAGCATCAACTCACCCATGATGCAAAAGGGCTTTGTTAGTAGCATGGCTGGTCCTGATCAGCTCTCAGGCATGAGAGCAATTCAGCAACATGACAACTCATTTGAACGCTTCCAAACACAGTCTGATCAGTCCACTTTAGTAGGGATCAATGGTGGAGGATTCACCAACCCACTCCTTCAAAAAAGCCCACAAGAAATCTCTCAATTGTTCGAGTCTGGAACTGGTAGCTCAGCTATGAGTGACATGGGAGGGTTTGGTGGAATGTTCAACATGGGAGGTGGAGACCAAAGCCAAGGGTTTGTGAAGAATATGGAAACTGAGGCTAGTAATAGTTCTAATCTGATGCAGGGAAGATCTCCGATGCCCACGGGTCGGAGTTTGACAGGAATGTCGAGGTTTGGAGGGAACGGCAGCGGTAACAACGATATGATGACAGTTGATTTCTTGGGAATTGGAGGTTCGAGGCCTCCGAATTTCCATGAACAACAACAGAGGCAACAACAGCAACAACAAAGATTGGAAATGGAAGCAATGAGTCAACAGAGAATGCAAGTAATGAATCCTTTCCAACAACATCTCTCGCAAGGCGAACCAACCATGGAAAAGTCCATATGGGATGTCTGAGAGCAGGGATGTTTTTCCACTCAATAGAAGGATGACAGAGTCTAGGAACATAGAAATCAAACATAGAACTGATTTGTGGTGAGAAACTTGGTCTAAGCTCTTCTAGAAACACTGAAATTGAACACGGAACTGGATTGTGTTCGATTTTTTGTTTAGTTATTGTGTCCAATTCTATGGAACTGGATTGTGTTCGATTCTGTATTCAATTATTATGTCCAATTCTATATTGGGTTGTTGTGTTCCTATAAGAAATTAGACCAAATTTCTTACTACAAATTGCAAATCAAGATGGTAAGAAACTAGCTAGACAACCATATAGACATGAAGGGCATTGAAGCCTAGAAGTTAAAGTGAACTGACCTTCATGATCTAAGTAGATAGATCTTTATATAATCTTTGAATAAGCTAATTTAATTAGCAAGAGTCATCGGTCTTGTGACAAAGCACAAGCACCAAAGTCTTAGGGCATATTTGATTGGAAGGATTAAAGCATGGGATTAGGATTATTAATCCGTGGGCCCAATCATCCTACGTTTGTTTTGACATTTTGGTTTAGGACTATTAATCCAATGGATAATTAATCCAATAAATTTATAGGATTATTAGTAATGGGGTAGGGGTGGGATAGTTAATACCACACTAATTTGATAGGATTATTAATACCTCACTATTAGTATTGTGAATCAAACATGACCTTAGAGGTTAGACAAACTCACTACCTGAGTTTGTACCTTGGTATAAGCCACATTTTAATTCAGAGATTTTTTAAGGATTTTAATTTGTCATAAAAAAAATAAAAAAAATAAAAAGTAAAAGTGAAGGAAACTGCCCTTCATAGTGTTTGAATTTTAATGCTCATAAGAGTGCACTTTGAAGTAATTCCCATGAAGAATGACTTTTTTTTCTAATGGGATAGAATGTGTTGTGTGAATAATTAACAAATTATATGAACTTGTTTTTCAAGTGAGTAATTTTTTTTATTCGGCGAAAGTTAATTATTGGTTGTTAGATTAGTATTTTGAGAGAATTGAAACTCACACCTATATATCTTGCAAGAAAATCTTACATACCTTCTTATTACATTCCTAACGCTATGTTTTGTTGGAAGATTTGGAGAGGATTTGAGAAAAAAAAAAAGGAAAAATGTGTATGAAACTAGATGAAATATAAGTATATTTTAATCACATTTCACCTACCTTTTCCATTTCACTTTACAAATCCCTCCTCAAATCTCCCAACTAAACACAGTGTAAAAGTGAAATCCAAAATCTTCCCCTCAGAAAAGACTTGGTGGCCAAAGGCTAGCCAACTAGGCTAGAGTGCCTTGGTTTTTTCAAGTGAGTAGTTACCGTAGATTATTGAGTAATGGCAATGTATTTGGGTATCATGTAACGTTATATGACAATATTTGTGTAGGATGGTTCGTCAATTATATCATTCGTGCAAAAATTTATGTTGATCCAACATTGATAGTCACGTGATCTAATTACATTTGTGTCAACTTTAAATATAAATTTAAAAATAAACTACTAATACAAATGCGATCTAATCAAATAGTTATCAATATTATATCAATGTAAATTTTTTTATTTTTTTATAAGAATGACATACTTGATAACTCACACATTGAAATCCATTTTAATTGTGATCAATGAATTTGAACCACACATTTCTTTTGTACATTTTCTTATAAAAAAAAAGTTTCCTGTGCGCGCGATCTACCAACTGCTAATAAGACAATGACCATGTTTAGTGGAAGTAATTGAAACAACTTATAATTTTTATTTATTTATCTGTTTTAAAGTATGCGTTGGAGTATTTAGTGAAATCGCTGTTTATTTTATAACTTACAAGTCAATAATAACGAAAATGTGTTTTAAAAAAAACTAATTATCTTGAAAAATGTGTACTTTTTGTCTTTTATGCTTGGGACCCCTTTTTGGGAGTCACCCCCTCACCCCCCTTTGCCACGTGGCAGGGGGTGATTGGTGGAGCAGGAAAAAAAAGAAAAAGAAAAAGAAAAGGTAACCAATGAGCGAGAGAGGGGGTCAAAGGGGGTGGGGGAAAAAGGGGGTGGGAAAAAAGGGGAATGAATTATTACTCTTTTTTTAAATTCAATCTTGCTGGAGACCCCCAAGTGGGGGTCGCACCCCCAGTGAGGTGGCGAGCCCCTACTGGCTGAAACTCAAAAAAAAATAAATAAATAAATAAAATAATTTTTTTTTTATCCAATCACGACACGCCACCTCACTGAGGTCGACCCCAGTGGGTCCGAAGCATTTTTCTTTTAAATTATCAACTATTACACCAAACAAGCCCAATGGGCCTGTGATCTCACCCATGTAAAGACAACTACTGTGGGTCCAAGGATTCTGATGTAATCGGCCCTTATTGGGCCTGGGTTCTCCAGGTTAGTTCCTCTAGGGCTTCGGCCCACAATTGCACCCCTAAAACAAAAAAAAAGTTTCTAGTGCTCCGACGAATATAAAGGGAAACCCTAACCCATGTCTCTCTCTCTATATATATAGACACAGAGAGAGAACCAGAACTATCTTCTTCTCTGGCTCTCCGCCGACTGGTTCTCTCTCCCTCTCTCTCTCTCTCTCTCTCTCTCTCTCTGAGTTCGAATAGTTTGTTTTAGTGATTGTTTTTGGTGTTTTGTGATTGTTTTTGGAGTTTTCTTTGATTTCGGAGATAGATTTGGTGAATTATAGTAGTAGAGGCGGTGATGATCAGAACTACCTATTTTCTGAGTGAAAAATTTTCACTTTATGATTATAAATCACCAATGGATCCTTCTGAGCCTCTCACTGTAATTTTATCCTTTCTTTTTTCCTTTTTTTTGAATTTCTATGAAGTTTGTTTTTGAAATTTATTGGTTGAGCTATTGATATGATGATAATCGATTCGGAAAACATGATGTCGAGTAAAGTAAATCTTTCCAGACTACAATTATCTGATCAATGGTTGTTGCTTCTCAGAAAATTTTTTTTTTTAAAAAACAAAATTAGAAATGAATTTGGTAAAAACAATAAAACATTTGTTAGTTTTCTTATTTTATTCTTAAGTGGGCAAGAAATAATTTATGAAAATGTAAATTTTTTTTTTATATTTATTCTTTTAAATTAAATTTTATCTTTCAAAAATTCTGAAAATAATTTATTAAAATCAAACCAGTCTTGGCCTCGATTTTCCATAAGCTTTTATTTTTTATTTTGAGAATCTGTGGACTCATTTACAAGCCAATCAGAATGCAATACTAGATTAATAGAGAGAAAATTTAAAAACGTTGAAAAAATTATTGAACTTTTTAATGGTAATAAAATAATAATGTATAAAAAATTATAGATTTTTAATTGTTTATACAAATTACCAATTGTTTACAAATTATTCTTGAGACAAACAAGTATTGCCGGAGGGTCTTTTGCGTTAATTAACATTTATTTCATAAAATTTAAAATTTTAATCTTTTTATTAAAAAATATCTATAAGTAAATTTTAAAATAAAGATTATCTGCGTTTGTCCTTTTAATATCATTGATCTATAATATGGTTTTGAATTTTATGAATAATTTTATGGGCATTGACAGTTACTAAAAATTTATGAGTGCAAGAGATGTTTAATATGATTGTATGTTATTTTTCAAAATAATATTTTATTTTGGATTTTTTTTTTTTTTTTTTGATAGTATATGCTTTTAAAAATATCAATTGTTATAACTGTTTTTTTTGTGTTGTTATTGAATATGAAAGAAGGGCAAAATAATAAGTTTATATTATTTTATTCTTTAATTTTTGAAAATGAATTAATATTTTGAGACTTAGGTCAAGTTTGGCTACTACAAGATAATTTATCTTTTTATCTTTTTTTTCATTACATTATCTCTCTACTTTTCTGTACATCTTTTTGTAAAAAGATAAAAAGTACACTTATTTAGATCATTTCAAACAACCCCTTAATATTTTAGAATGGAGAGAGTATTACTGTTTATCTCATAATTTTGGATACATATTTTATGATAAGAGTTTAATGTATTGATAATTATAATTATGGAAGAATTTAAAAAAGTGTAAGGGGGTGTTTGATAAAATTAAAAATTAAATGTTGAATTTTAAGTAAGTTATTTGATAAAAAATTAAGTGCAGAATTAAAAATAAGTTATTTGATATGTGTAATATAAAATTTAAAATTTAATATTTTTAAGTTGTATATTTTAAATTTTATATTATGGTAGTGGTGGTGGTGGTGCGGTGGCATTTGGTGGTAACAGTGGTGATAGTAGTAATAAAATGATGGTGATGTTCATGACAATAGTGATGAAAGTGATGGTAGTGGTAGCGACGGCGGTGATGGCATGATGGTGGCTGTGGTGATAACGGTAGTGTTGGCATAGTGTTGGTGATAGTAATAGCGGCAGTGGTAGTGGTAATATTGGTGAATACGTGGTGGTGATGGTGGTGGTAGTGGAAACGATGGTGGTGGCGGTGGTATAGCTATAGTGGTGGCTATGGCATAATGATTGTGGTAGTAGTGGTGGTAGTAATGAGTTTTCATAATAATATATATTAATAACCAAATCAAACCAAACAAAGTCTTAAGTCCCATCAAATAGGGTCGGCTACATGAATCTTTCTTCTCCACGCGGCCCTATCAAACAAAGGTCATTTCATTAGTTAAATTAAGTAGATTCATATCTCTATTTATAACGTTAGCCAATGTTAATCTAGGTCTACTCCGTCCCCTAACACTTCCATCTACCATTACAGTATCGCATCTCTTCACTACTGCCTCTGTTAGTCTCCGTTGAATATGACCAAATCATCTCAATCGATTTTCTCTCAACTTATCTTCTATCGGTGTTACTTCTACTCATTCCCGAATACACTCATTCATAATTCTGTGTTATCTAGTCTTACCACACATCCACCTTAGCATCCTCATCTTAGTCACACTCATCTTATCTACATGTTGTTTCTTGGTTGCCTAACACTCTGTCCCATACAACATAGCTGGTCTAATAGCCGTTCTATAGAACTTACCTTTTAGTCTAGTGGGTATTCGTTTATCACACAATACCCCAGACGCACTTCTCCACTTACACCATCATGCCTTAATCTTATGCGCCGTAACTGCATCAATCTCTCCTGTTGTTGTGATAATCGATCCTAAATAATGAAAATGTTCACTCTTAGGCAGTTCTTGATTCTCAATCTTCACTTCTCCTCTGCTTTCATTGTTACTGTTACTAAATTTACACTCCATGTACTCTGTCTTAGTTCTGCTTATTCGAAATCCTTTGAATTCAAGAGTTGTTCTCCAAATCTCCAACTTTGTGTTAACTCATTCTCTAGTCTTATCCACTGGCACAATATCGTCTGCAAAAAGCATACACCATGGCACGTCATCCTGAATATTTCTCGTCAACTCGTCCATAACTAAAGCAAAAAGATAAGGACTTAAGGTAGATCCTTGGTGTAACCTTACGGTGATAGGAGATTCATTTGTCTCTCCAGCTGGCGATCTAATAATGGTCACCACCCGTTCATACATGTCCCTAATCACGTCAATGTAACCTTTTGTCACCCATTTCTTCTCTAACACCCATCATATTATATCCCGGAACACTTTATCATATGCTTTATCAAGGTCGATAAACACCATATGAATGTCTCTTTTCTTTTCTTTATACTTTTCTATTACTCTCCTCCAAAGATAGATCGCTTCCATTGTTGACCTACCAAGCATGAACCCAAATTGATACTCTGACACCTTTGTTATTTCTCGCAATCGGTGTTCCATCACCATCTCCTACACTTTCATTATATGACACATTAGCTTGATTCCTCTATAATTGTTACAATTCTGGACATCACCTTTATTCTTATAGATTGGCACTAAAATGCTCTTCCTCCACACATCTGGCATGTTCCAAGTCAACAAAATTTTGCTAAACAACCTAGTTAACCAAGCAATACATTTTTTACCCAAACACTTCCAAGCTTCAATAGGGATATCATCAGGTCCTAAAGCCTTATTGGATTTAATTTTCTTAAGTGCAATCTCTACTTCAAAATTCATAATCCTGTGATAGAACCTATAGCCTTGGTTTATCGTATTACTGGCTATTTCTTCCCCTATTGTCATACCTTCATGTTCCTTATTTAATAGTTTCTCAAAATAATTCTTCCATATTTCCTTAATCTCTTTATCCTTCACCAATATCTTAGAATCTTCACTCTTGATGCACTTTACTTGATTAAAATCTCTTGTTTTCCTCTCCCGTATCTTAGCAAATTTGTATACCATTTTCTCTCCCTCCTTACTATCTAATCTAGTGTATAGGTCATCATAAACTTTTAACTTAATCTCTCTCACTACTTTCTTGACCTCCTTATTAGCCAATCTATAGCTCTTAAGGTTTTCCTCAGTTCTATCATTCTGTTACTTTTTAAAGCACTCTTTTTTTGCCTTAATTACCGCTTGAACCTCTTCCCTCTACCACCAAGTTTCCCAAGAGTTAGGTCCCGTTCCTTTCGACTCTCCAAGCACTTCCCTTGAGATTTTCCTCATACAATTGGCCATCGAGTTGCACATAGTGTTAGCATCACTTTTTAAGTCTCAAGTACCTTCTTTATCCATTCGATTCTTAAATATTTTTAGTTTATCCCTTTTTAGGTCTCACCATCTCGTCCTACGACGCCCACCATCCTTTTTAGCTTGGTATTGCCCTCTAAAACATAAATCTATATCCAAAATCCTATGTTGAGAGACCAGGCTCTCTCCAGGAATCACTTTACAATCATTGCATTTTAGGCGATCCACTTTTCCCACTAAGAAGTAATCTATTTGACTCTTAACTAATCCACTCTTAAAGGTTATCAAATGCTCATCCCTCTTCTTATACATAGTATTGGCCATCACTAGGTCAGAAGCCAACGCAAAATCTAAGATACTCTCTCCAGCCTCATTTCTGTCACCAAAACCGTATCTACCATTCGTAGCCTAGTTTATCTATGCCCACATGGCCATTAAAATCTCCACCTATAACCAGGTTCTCTCCTACGGGTATCTCCTGTAAGATCTCATCCATTTGCTCCCAAAAATCCCTCTTGACCGCCACTTCACTATCTACTCTCCACAAGACCCTTGGCAATTATGATTCCTACACCATTCCTACGTGCTATCCTTACCCCTATAATATAGTTTAAAACCGGTATCCTCAATTTCCCTAGCTTTCTCTCCTGTCCACTTAGTTTCTTGTATACAAGTTATACTAACTCTCTTCCTAATCATAACATCTACCAATTCCATCGTCTTACTAGTTAAGGTTCCTATGTTTCAAGTGGCTACCCTAAACCTATAGTCATTGACTATTTTCTTTACCCGCGCTTGCCCAGAAAAACGCGGGAACCTTTGTCCATTTTTCACCGCACACAGGCGTCGATGCGGCTCCCCTTGCTCACTTTTCGAAACACCCGGAGGCAGGCGTAACTCGTCACTTGAAGGGAATAACCTAGCATTTAAACGATTCAAAGTAGGATTCATTTTCATAAGGGATCCGAGCGGTTTTTTTACGTGTTGGCTGTCGACTACCTAACACACAACCCTCCTCCTTAACCCGGGCTTAGGATTGGCGGAGTTGTTAACAACCTCGGCAGAGTTATAATATATATTAATATTTATGTTTAATATTTATAAATTCAGTTAGAATTAAGAAAGTTTGATATGCCTTAAGAAAAAATTTAAGTTTTAATTCATATGTTAAGAATTATTTAAATTTTTAAGTGATATCAATTATGCTTATCAAATGGGTTTAATTGATTATTATTTAATTAATTCAATTTTAAGTGCTGAATTATGTTATTAAACATTTCGTTAAGATAAGAATATTGAAGTTACATAAATAAAAATTTACCATATATTACACATAATTTGAATAATTTAAAAATTAAATAAAGATTAAAA